ACATATGTGAATGTTGTGTGTGTGTATATATATATGTATATATTATTTAGATGGTGCAACTCTAAATAACGTTCCGCATCATGAAATGTTCAGAATACTCGGATCAATTAAACAACAAAATGTCCGAAGCACAAAACGGGAACACCAACGTCAAACTCAACATCAAAGTAACCCGCTCGCCGCCGGTGCTCTTACACCCCGCCGGAGATACTCCGGATGGCGGCGACGGCACCTACTTCCTGTCAAACCTAGACCAAAACCTTGTGGTCACGATGAAGACAATCTACTGCTACACTGCGAAGGATGGTCGGAGCACCGAAAACGCCTGCGAGGTCCTGAGAACGTCGCTGGAAAAGGTGCTCACTTACTTCTATCCGTTCGAGGGCCGCTTTGGAGTGGACGAGGGAGGAAAGCTCGTGGTACGGATGAACGGCGGCGGTGTTCCGTTCGTGGAGGCGGTGGCGGAGTGGGAGATGGAGGATTTGGGTGACGTGTGTTCGGCGGAGCCGGAGAAGTTGGGAGAGCTGATTTATTTTCCTCCGGCTGAGAATATATTTGAAATGCCGCTGTTGACGATCCAGGTAGGGGGTGTAAACGCCTGCTCCTTAAGAAAACATTACTCGTCCATTCCTGTTCTTCGTGTTTATATGTCAAAGTGTTCGGCTAATTTATTTAGCTAGCCTAATACAAACTGTTCGCGGATAAGTAGTTATTTTGATAACCCAAATTAGGTTAGGATAATAAAGATTAGGGCAGGATTAAAATCTTATTATTTATAGTAAAATATTATTTAAATATAATTTAATAAAATTTTATTCTATTTTTTTATTTTATAATTTTATCAGATTATAAATCTATCTTGCCTTGTAGTCTTTTATATATATATATATATATAGTTGATAAGTAGAATTTCAAGTCGAAAAAAGTGTTTTGTGCTCAGCTCGTTAACTTAGAGAATGAATTGAACACGAGCTTCGTAATGAGTCAAACACGAGATGTTCGCGAACAATGAGCTGACGATTTTTTATTGCATCAAAATAATAAACGTAAATTTGTGCCTGATGTCCAATTAAAAACACTAAAAAAATGTATTATAGTGATTTGTGTCCAGCAACAATAATTGCTCATTATATAAAAGAGCCAGGTGAGTAAATAATATATATTGCAATACATATTTAATTCAATTTAATTGCATGAAATATCAATTTATTTAGTGAAATATCAATTTACTTAATATTATTGAATTTGTGCAATTAATAGAGTTCGATCTCGAACTTAAATTTATTAATTTGAGCCGGTTTGTTTATCATAAAAGAGATGAAAAATTATTAATTAAAGTTAGTATTAGAATAAAATGACAAATGAAAATAATAATAAGAAGACAAAGAATAAGAAGTCAATTGACATCATATATAAATTATAATTTTTAAATAAGCAGTGTTAATTTAATGATTAAGTATTTAATTTTTTTATATTATGAATATATCTATATTAATATTTTCCAGGAAAAGCCCTCTCACAAGCTAAGTTGAGCAAGTTGGGGCTAGTTTGAGTTTGACTTTTTAGCTGAGCAAGCTCAACTCAGTAGTCATTAGGGGTGTAAAGGACTCGTGTTCGGTTCGTTTGAAATTTAATTTATTTGAAATAAGCTCGTGTTCGCGAGCCAGTTTGACATCCCTAATATTAATATATATAAATAATATATTATATTAATTATATAACTCATGTTATATAAATATATAATATATATATTAGTATATTACTAATATACTATATTAATATATTATTATTATTAATTTATTATATATTATAATTTATAAAATTTAATTTTTTAAAATATCATAAATTTTTTATATATAATTATTTTAAATTTTTTTATATTTCGAATAATAACGATTCGAACACAAAAGGACGTATCACTGTTAGTGCTTGTTTCTTTTAACTTTTATTTACGTTTGTCTAGTGAATAACAAGTTTTTTTGATAGTAGCCATATATTAGCTATTTATTGGGAAGAGCCCCAACCGGCGGGCCTACTTACACGCCCTACTTTTAGATATTATTAAATTTAATGTGTTTCCTATGCATATGCCCTAAAAATCCATTTTATAGGACCCACCTTCACAGCTGCAATGGAGTTTTATCCTAAAGGAATTTTAATGGATTTGAAATTAATTATTTAAAAATTTCAATTTATAATGAAAAAAAAATAATAATGCAAAAAAAATACAATTTATAATGCAAAAAAAAATAATAATAAAAAACAAAAATTTTGACTTTACATGACTTGACAAAACAAAAACTTGAAAACTAAGCTATGTTCAACATCTTCTAAATTGAGAAAGCAGGAAAATGACACATTGATACTATTGACAGGTGACAAAATTCAAATGTGGCGGCTTCGTCCTCGGCATGGCGATGAATCATTCCATGGCCGACGGTCTCTCCACCGTCGAGTTCCTCCACTCCTGGGCCGCAATTGCCCGTTGTCTCCCTCTCTCTCTCCCGTTATTTATCGACCGCTCCATCTTAAAAGCACGCAGCCCGCCGGCCACCGACTTCCCCCACACAGAGTTCTCCGACCTCGCCGCCTCTCTCTCCACTTCAGACTCTTTCTCCTCCCTTGCCCTCATCCATAAAAGCTTCACCTTTGAAGCCCAAAAACTCTCCCGCCTCAAGCTTCTCGCTACAGCCAATGGCGAATTCCCGACGCCGACCACCCT